CTGTCCAACTGTCGATGTATACTAATGTGAATTGTGGCAACTTGAACCAATACACCTGTGTGTGAGGTTCTGTGTTGATTCTCTGTGTGAAACATTCACAGTACCGGCCAATAAAATGGGTCTTAGTATTTTGAAAGATAGTTTGACCAGAAAGCGTTAAATATATACCACCAACAGTTCTCAGAATATGATGATATACCTTACTAGTATTTCCCGGTTTTATGTCGTATTTCGACCAAGGAATATCAGTTTCACTGTGTCTTGGAAATCATTTTAGTGAGACATATATAAACAAAGTGAAATATTGCATTGCTACAGCACTGGGCAGCTGTTTCGTTCTAGTGTGGGACTCCTCAGCAGCGCGCACCCACGACCCCGTACCACCAGGGATCTGGTGGTGCTTATTGGTGACTAGTTTCGCGAAGTATTCCCGAAGTTCCAGTGAGAAGTCGTGACCGGTGGAGTCAAAGCCTGATGGCCATGAGGACAGACACTCAACGATGACATTGGGTGGCGGTTGCGCTATATCGTGAGCTAACAGAAGTTGGAAATATGGAGCACTGGACTCTGACCCAGTGGCTCAATGGTAACGCGCTAGCCGCGGGACCTGAAGGTCGCTGGTTCGACCCCTGGTGGTGCGGGGTCGTGGGTGCGCGCTGCTGAGGAGTCCCATACTAGGACGAAACAGCTATCCAGTGCTCCCAGGTTTCCTTTGTTCCCCCAACTGATTTCAGTCTATGATGAATAACAACTTGAAATATTTCCAAATCTCTACAACTCCTTCAGAATTTAATTAAAGCATTCTCCTTATAATATAGTACGTTCGAATAAACAGTGGGAAGGTATGCATAACCTGTGACCTAATAACCTTAGCGATTACAGTTTCACAGTTCAATCACCTGAATTACTTCCTTTACTTAATACTGTTCACGTAGCCTTTGCACTGAACATCTGTTGGTTCTAACACATTTGAGTGGTACTTTCAAAGCACTGGCGATAATGTGGGGTCGACTACACACACTAATCATACCTGTCAGTTACACTCGGAATTCATATAACAGGTTTTCAAACTACGAAAGCAGAAAGAGCCAAATAAGCTGGAAAACAAAAGTATATATTTGCATATTATTTGACTAAAACATTCTAGTCACAAAAATCATGAAAGTTATGGGTAATCATAATCACAGTAATCGTACATAAAACAAAAGACAAACGAGAAACAACAACAACAGAAAAAAAAGTAGGACTAGAAAAACTTGCAATAAAATGATCGACTTTGATTTCGTAATTTTAATTCATCTGAGAACTAAAAAGAAACAAAGATGCATTGTCAAAGCATTATTACGTAAGATAATTCACATTCATTCATTGATATAATGTAATTTATTACAGAGAAATAGATCGGAATTAAAATCCACACAGCAACCTTTTGGATATTCGTGCAGTAAGCAACGAGCTATACTTATTTTGTGAAGGTTGCCCAGACCTCGGTGCTCGGACCCTGGTCCACTGGTTGAAAGTTATCTCTTTAGACCAGGGAATCGAAACTCCACAGGGAAATAGATGATACTAACTGGATGAATAGTTGATCTGATATACCGCTGATGAGATCAACAGGGAACAAGTGAAACGACCGTCCAGCGTTTAGATCACCTTGATCTGACCAATGCTCACCGCCAATCAACATCAGTGGTCTATAACTACTCATGTTGGTTCCTCGTATTTTTATACAGCATTCATGCCTCTAAACATGGTGCCAATTGTTGTGTTTGACAGATCATACTATTTGATCGGGATATTTTTAGTTTTTTGAGAAAGCCACGTTGATCTTTCCCACCAGGGTCTAAGTATTTTGCAAACATATGATTTCATACCGACTAAAAACACAATGAAAACTTAATTCAGAGAAAGAAACGATTTGGTGATCTCTAAATTAATTTCCATTGGTTAATACTTTAAAATATTTTGTATCATGTTGGATATACCCTATAAGGTGCATTTTACTTTTGTAATCCCATCGAAGTATATCAGAAGAAAGACAATATACTTTTTACATTGACCGATCACTGTAGAGCAACCAATCTCATTTTGTTCAGTCCTGAATGCTGACCGAAATCTACTAATTATTTTTTCAATGTGCCACCAAGTTAGGAGACTCACCATCGTGATGGACTGGGGATAGATGTTAGCTGGATGGAGGTTTCGTGCTTGTTCGGAATCGTCAGCAAGGCGTATCTGCAACCTCGAGGGAACTGGTTTCTCCTGTGAGATTCGAACCTGCACCATACAGTGTTGTAGTCAGTGATATTACCACTAAATGACCTCCACTATGTAAAAGAGTTCTACATGAGGTCAGTCATAATCCAAAATAGCTCAGTCGTAATGTCGCTGACTGCAACACTGAAAGATATGGCTTTGAACCTCACAACAGACATCAGTTTCCTCGAGGTTGCTGGAGGGCCTTACTGACGAGGGCCAAAAGGCATGAAACCTAGGTCCAGGGCTTTCTGACAATAACTAACTAAAATGAATGACTTACTTAGTTTTAACCATTTGAAAGACATTGAGTCATTCAATATCCTTCCACATCTATGTAGTTTGAGAATGCGTTGATAAACAATGATTAATATTTTTATTAAAATAACCCACTTTTTACAGTCATCGGTTAACCAGTGCCATTATTACATATTTGCATAGTTTAGTAAAGCATAATGTATTTTTAGAATGGCTGTTACACGTGACGACTTTAGAATTACTCTTTGTATTCTGTTTAGTTATTCATATGTCACTACACTCGATTACTCCGACCTATATATATGTAGTTATGAATCGAACAACAATTCTCTTTAAAATAGAAACTACCTGGGGTGATTTTGATAGGACGAAGATGAAAAACTTGAATAAAGAAAACGTTATTGTTTTTTTTCAAGATGCATTCAGATCAAAATTCTATCAAACAGAATCAAGGCATATTGGCAAGTGAACAAAATGTATCTAGTGAACAGTTATTTCTCGAATTAAACTGCGCTTTACCTATTCTGAACAGAGGAAATGGAAAGTATCGTAAACCCCAAAGAATTCAGTGTATGCAAAAGTACGTAACTGTATACCAGGTTGATAAATCGCGCCAAACTACTGTAAACGCATATGAGTGTCATGAATCAACAAAATATAATTAAAACTAACGGATTTGTATTAATCAACAAGTCTTCAAAGTCATTCATCTATGCAAGATTTCGTCAATAACTTATAAATGACTACAGAGACAAAACCGCTGAAGTCATCCACAGCTGGGAATACCGAAGGGTAAAAATCGATTGCTATGCAAAATACTCTTAGTAATTAATTATTATTTGTCCTTTGGGTTCCTAGTGGAACATATGGCTTCAGTAGCAAGCCTCCATTACACTCTCTTCTCTGAAGTCTTTTGAACCTCGCTCCACCACTCCCCACAGGCTTTCATTTCTTCCTCACATCATCGCCTCCATGTCACCCTCACCTCGGACGCCCAACTCGTCGTTTCCCCTCTACACTCAACTCCAGGGCCTGAACTGGCACGTGATGTCCCCAATCCCCCTTCTCAGTGTATCACCAATCCATCGTCACTCTCTTCTTCTGGATATTTCTTGGGTGATATGTTCTTGCTTCGTTCCTTCGCTGCTACGCCAGAGTTCCGTGTTGCTCATTCTTTCTGGCCATCTCATCTGATCTTCAGTATCCAGTGAGCGTAGACAGCAGCTGTTAATGAATATCTGTAGTTTGTTGGAAGTGCGTTCCGTAACGCGCGAAGTCTCTCAACCATCACATAGAAGCACTGACTTGACTGACTTAGTGTTGAAAATCCGGATCTTGTCCATACTTTATGCTGAGTGCAGAGCAGTATATCTCCACACTTGTTTCAGGTTCATGAAGGCCTGTCTTGCTTTTCCGGCTCTGGCTTCGACACCCTCATCTATGCCTATGACGCCTGTAGTTGGAACGATGCTGCCTAGGTAGGTAGGTTGGTGAAAGAGACAACTTCCTTTAGGTTTCTTCCGTTCATGGTAATCGGTGCTTGTTGTTGTTGGTTAGGTGTCTTCATCACCTCTGTCTTCTCCACGTTCACTTGAATTCCCGTTTTCGCTGCCTCGTCTCTTCTGTCAGTTTTTGCCTGTAGACCCACGAGTTTGTGCGACATTAGACATAAATCGTCATCGGCAAAATCCAAATCTTGTAGGGTCTTTTCATCAGTCAAACAGCGTATGCCCATCTTGTCGCTCCACACAGTTTGCTGCATGATCCAGTCCAGTCGACCACAATCAGGAAGATCATGTGTGATAGTAAGCAGCCTTGTCGTACTCCCATCTTCACTTCGAAGGCATCTCTGAGCCTTCTTTTTTGGATCACTTGACATGTAGCGTTTTCATATAGCTGTTGAATGAGATTGATAAAGGTTTGTGTCACTGAAAGTGTAGTGTTGAAGCAGTTTCCAAATTACTTCTCGGTCGACGCTGTCGAAGACTTTTTCAGAGTCGATGAAGTTGAAGTTAAGTTGACTGGCATTCTATACTCTGTTCTATGATGATGCGTAGCGTAGCGTTGCAGTTTGATCCGCACATGATTTACACTCTTATATAAGTTGAGTGCATATCATAAAAATTGATAGCTGAGTTCATTTTCGGGTTAAATCTATTACACGTTCAACTGAAAAATCCCAAATTTATGTGGTTTTTTCTTACCAAACTAATGACAACTTGAAAGTATACATCTTTGTGTATACAAAGGGTTATCAATTTGTCTGTATACTCAGTCCAAGTAGTTTCCACTAGTTATTGAATTCTTAAAGGCCATCAACTGGATTATTTGATCATTTATGGCGTCAATAAGTAGAATATAAAAAATATTAAATTTTTTATACAAAAATATTAAGAAACCTACCATTTATGATAACGATTCTTCATATTATTCATTTATGAATTAAAACAATAACTGCTAACATTGATCATTGAATTTATTTTAGACTAGAGTTGAGATTGAATACGTTCACGTTGATTAATCATCTCATTTTGAATCACTTCTGGTAGGTCTTTGCCTACTTGATCATGTAAATACTTCATTGTCTCTTCAATATCTTCTAGGAGATAATCTTTTGGCAAGAAGAAGTTTGCATCCCAATCAGCATTTAATCCTTCGAAATTGACGGTTCCTAGAAATCAGTTTCACAGTTTGTTGGTAATTAAAAATAATAACAATTATAAAAGCTGTATACTAGTTAGTACATATGTTGCATATGCTAAAATGTTGCCTTTCATAAAGTCTAAGGTTAAATGAAAAATACCAAGATAAGTAAACCAAGTTGTTAGTTGATGGTTTAGATGTCACATAGGATTTATTTGTAATATGCGTCTCCTTCCAGGAATCTTTCAAATATTAAGAACGCATATGATCTCAGGTTTGAAGTGACATGGTCGAAAATAGACTGAAAAGCCAGATGTACCTATCTTACTGCTCTGAGTCTGTTGTATCCTCCTCTTCATCCTATTCCTGACAATCTCTTTCTATAAATCATGACTTTCTCTTTCCAAGCTGTGATGGATGATGAAAAATTAAATCAATACATGAGTATACGTGCTTATCAAGTTAACGAAGTATGGAATGCAGATAAAATATCTTCTTGTGAAACCGATCTCTATTTGTCATGAGTCATATGAAGTTGAAAAATGCCAAGCACTGGATTATTATCCGGTGGCCGAGTGACAAGATGCTCATCACAAAATTTGAAAGTTTAAGAATTGAATAAAACAGCCTTTTTACTGCTTCTCAGTCTTCAACTTTACCACATTTGAGTATATTCGAGCTGAGTATATAAAAAGTTAACGATACAATATCCTGCCCAGAAAGTAGGTGAAAAAAATTTGTTACTTTTCAAGATGGTTGTCATCTTCTTCAATGAACTTAAGAATTTGACACATTCAAAAGTACATCTTTCTTCTTTGAATTAATTATCTAATTTATAGTTCTGGTGCTACTGCACTCAAATTGTTCACTACAGTGTAATTTATGTAGCTAGCTGTCTAGGCCTAAGTAATCAAAACTGACCGAAGTGTATCGACCAAGTGGTGCAGCGTGGCCATTAAACTAATTGATACTATAGTACAGTGCACTGTATCTCACTGTAGGATGTTGACAACAGAGATCAAGCAGTTCGACCCTGCATAACAACGGAAAATTACAATTAATAGAACTGTAACTGATACCTGTTGCCCAACAGGTGGCTGCCGTTACCCAGTGGCCTAGTAGATAATGATTTGGCGTTCGAAGCGGTGAGTAATGGGTTCGAGTTTCGGTGGGGAAAACATCATTCTGTAAGGTGCGGGCACATTCGTCTGACGAGCCCCAGGTAGGGCAAAATGTGCGTCTTCGATCCCACGGGTTTTTTACACTATTATAAAGCGTTTTAAATTCCTCTTTGACCTTGAAGTGCATCCGTTTTCTATAAGTAATTGCTAAAAGTAAGTATGGATGATGCCTTCAGTCAACTATGCATCAATTTCATAACGGTCATCAGCAACTTCGCTTCAGCTTTCATATGAATGAGAAGTGAAGGCAAGTATTGGTATTTCATTCGACCACTTGTTCCATCTTTCCTTTTTCTCCTCAGTCCAAATGAAACTGATAGTCTAACTGAATACTAGTAGAACTATCTGGGATAGACTTATTTGTCAGATGAATGATGTTGAGTCATTAGAAATCTCTTATCAGATAGTCGACCTTGAAAATTGTCTCTAATTTCAGCGACTCTGAAAAAGCTATTCAGTGTATTTTCAGTTAATATTGGCGCGACAAAAACTCATCTTAAATGCTATACTTTGAAACATGTATTAAACAGCATCTCTAGCAAAGAATTACTGGTTTGACTTTTTTTTTACAACTTTACACGAATATGTAACAAGTATCATGATAGATTGGTCATTCTTTTGAAAGTCAAATGTTGAATATTTAACCTGTATTATCTAGTTGTTTTTTGGCATATTCAGGGTCATTTCGATAAATCATCGCCATGTCGACTTTAAAGTCGTTTCAGGTTATAAGCCTAAACTTGTGGCAAATTAAAACAGATTCTTTATTCTCAGTATATCTTTCAGAGTTTTCTGAAGAAGAAAAATGACTTCAATACCCCATTCTGTTTAAGTGAGTTGAAACGCACTGAGGAATCATATGTACATTAGGGCAGAGAGCTGTGTATGAAAGATATGTTCATGGTTTATACTCAGAGAAATATATCCTACATGTTTCAGTATTATAGAATCATGAATCATGTGACATATGGTTTCTATGCATTCCATATATACGCTGGAGGGTAGCCTTGTGTTGTCTAGTCCTATGTGCTGGTCGAATTTCATCGATTATTTTCGCAATGTGGTTACCAAGCTAAGAGACTCATCATCATGATACACTGGGACGGATATTGGTTAGATGGAGGGAATCGGCAGCAAACCCTCCTCGACTTAGGTTTCGTGCGTTCTAGCACTCGTCAGTAAGGCAAATCTGCTACCCGGACGGAACTGGTATCTTGCCTGAGATTCGAACCAACGTCGCCTACTACAGGCTTCTGTCAATTCTTTTCAAATATCTAGAGAACTGGAGACAGAAAACTTTAAGCTCTTTACAAAACTTAGACTTAAAGTGACTGTAGGTATGAAATATAGTTCTTTAACTGACTGTCCTAAAGCTTTTGAATAAACTTATTTGCAAGTAGGCACCAGTAATGTGTATAACGGCCTAATTACTTGATGCACCTGAACAGCTTCACCAGTTGATTGAATTTTCTTATCTAATGTCTAACAACGTTCTAAGTATACGCCCAGGGGTGCAACAGAATTCTGCCAGTTAGGCTTAAAAGTCATTCACGAAAACACATGATTCTACATTGTGGTGAGCTCTTAGTTAATTTAAGACAACCAGCAGAAAAAACTCGTGACCTAAATTTTTTTTTTTTAGCATTTATGGTGTCCTTATGAAGATCCAAATCCATGTCAGCCAGTTGGTGAACTACTTGAGATACAAATGACTCATGTGAAATCGTACTGCGTAAAGTGATGCTTCACGTTGGTGAATTCTGATGGACGATCCCATTGTATTATTCACATGTGATCACTATGCATAAAATTCTTGTCAGTCTTCTTATCAATCAATCAATCAATATCAACGTAGGACCAGGCATTACTGCGTAACGGACCAACTTGCCACACCTCACGTCAGTTCATCAAGTAGAAAGGTAGTCAGGTAAACGATGAAGACAAATGAATGCAGTCAAAAGAAAAATGGGAATAACAAAATGGTGAGATTCGGTATAGCGTCGTTAAGATGAGGATAATGTGCGTATACATCTGCGCCAGACATCGGTTCTCAGCCATATCACCTAGAGTCTCCAACCACTGGTTCCTCTTGTCCCGTGGACCCCAACCACCTAGTCTGCATCGTCCTAGATGGCTTAAACCAACAGTCAGAGACTTCATACATTGGTGCCATGTTTTAGTCTCGCCACCTCAGTCTTCTTAATTGATCGATAACATTTTGCCTTCTGACTTATGATGTTTCAATTACACTGAGATAATTTTTCATTACATGTGCCAAATGTACACTTATATTATACTGAACTAAGAAGTAAAGCTTGCATGAGTCTAAATGAAACATATTCTTACCTCTTTTAGGCAGAAAACCAATTGGTGAAGATTCAGCAATATCTTCACCGTTAACCCGACGAATAATCCAATCAATGACGCGTATATTCTGTCCAAAACCAGGCCATACAAATTTTCCTTCTTTATTCAATCGGAACCAATTCACATGGAATATAAGTGGCATTTTACGTGATGGTTTTTCCATACTAAGCCAATGGTCTAAATAATGTCCAAAATTATATCCAACAAAAGGACGCATAGCCATTGGATCATGCATTACCTGTTTACCTGTTAATATTTATCACCAATAAACAAATAAAACAACTCAAATAGTTCAATATCAATGATAGTTTGTTAAAGATATTGAAAAGAAAAAAGAAAACAGTTTATAGATTATATTCATGGAACTATTCTTCTTACTGAAGACTTTTCAGTCAGCTATTCCTACCGAAGTATAAAAAACATAGTTAATTTAGTCCATTAGCCTAGTGAATACACTTTCCATATTTGAAGCCAATAGTATTGTTTTTAACTCTAAATTAGGAACATAAACGCCATATACAAAGCCAGTACACCGTCACAAATCTCTGTTGGTGTCTGGCATGTTGTTATAGAGGCTTAATGTGATACTTTCAGAAGTTCTGGCAGGAAGGGGAGGTACCTGGCGACTGGGAGAAGGGCTACCTTGTCAAACTCCCGAAGAAGGGAGACCTCAATGTTTGCAAGAAATGGCGCGGAATCACTCTCCTGTCCACCCACACCAACAAAAATATTAAGTAGCATCATCTTGGAGAAACTATGGGATGCACTGGATTGAAAATTACGACCGGAACAGGCAAGCTGGCTGGCTTCAGGAAGTACAAATCATGTGCGGACCAAATTGCAACGCCACTCTGCGCATCATCATAGAACAGAGTATAGAATAGCAGTCAACTCTCTACCTCAACTTCATCCACTTTGAAAACGCCTTCGACAGCGTCGACCGAGAAGTAATTTGGCAGTTGCTCCAACACTACGGAATACCACAAACCTTCATCAGCCTCATTCAACAACTGCATGAAGACGCCACATACCAAGTAGTTCACAATGGGAAGCTCAGTGATGCTTCTAAAGTGAAGACAGGAGTAAAACTAGGCTGCCACCTACTATCACCCATGATATTCCTGATTGTGGTCGACTGGACTGGACTGGATCATGCATGAAACAGTGAGGAGCGAGAAGAGGGGGATACGCTGGCTGGACAGAGGAAAAGAACCTAGAAGACTTGGATTTCGCCCACGGATGACTTGTGTCTGATGTCGCACAAACTTGAAGATCTACAAGTGAAAACTAACAAGTTGATAGAAAAAGTGGAGCAGTGAAGACGTCAATTCAAGTGAATATAGAGAAGATGGAGGTGATGAAGATACCCAACCAACAACAACACCAACAACAACAAGCTCCAATCACCATCAGTGGGAGAAACTTAAAGGAAGTTGCCTCCTTCACCTATCTGGGGAGCATTGTTTCAACTACAGGTGGCACAGACGGGAACGTCAAGCCAGCCAGGATCGGAATAGCAAGACAGGCCTTCATTAACCTGGCACCAGTGTGGAGATCTTCTGCACTCCACTCAGCATAAAGCGTGAACAATATCCGGATTTTCAACAACAATCCAGTCAAGTCAGTGCTTCTGAATGGTTCAGAGACTTGGCGCCTTACGAAAGGGATTTGCAACAAACTACAGACATACATTACATCAACAACTGCCTACACTGACTCGTTACTGAAGATCAGATGAGAAGGCGAGAAAGAACAAGCAACAGGCAACTCTGGGCTGGCTGGCAGCGAACCAACGAAGCAAGAAGCTGTCATTCAACAAATATGCACTGGAAGGAAGTGGAGATGGATTGGTCATACACTGAGAAGGCCGACTGGGGACATCACACGCCAGGTTAGGCCGTCAAGTGGAACCCCGATTGGAAGCGACGAGTTGGGCGTCGTTGGCAGTGGGTGACATGGAGGAGATGGTGTGAGGAGGAAATGAGAGTTTGTTGGCTGTCATGAAGGCAGGTTGAAAAGTTTGCCGAGGACAGAGTGGAATGGAGACGTGCTAATGAATCCCTATGTTCCATTAAGAACTCAAGGGACCACTAATAATATGATAACAATGAGATACTTTCAATTAAAACAAATTACAATAAATGAAGAAATTCATAAACATTGTGTTCAAAATTATTCATTTCATACACTATTTGAATGGGTTAGTGATTACTAATGCCAGTCATACTACATAAAGCTTATATAGCAACATGCCGGATATTATTATCAATGGAATTTTGGATAAAATTGCATCAGTTAAGGCAGTCTTAAAACAGCCTTGAAATAAGAATTGAACCATATTGAAATTGTAACAAGAAAAGTGGAGAAGATGTGAGAAGAAGCGGAGAGACAAAAGATGATGAAGAAGACGATTTTGAAAAAGATTGATTGAGCGGATGAAGAAACCTATTCCTTTTCAATTAGGTCTTCTTCTTTGGCTCTACAATAATATGCATAGTTTTACAATTTAATCAGATTACCAATCAAGTGGTGATGTTTCGGAAATAATGATGTATATAATCAATAGAGTTACTCAAATCGGAAATATTAGACAAGCTTTTCTTTGGTAAGTGGAGTAACTTTAATGAATGTTCAGTCATCCACAATAAGCTATTATGTAATAACAAGAAACTAAATGAATATTGATAGAAACAAGAAGGGGAAGAGGTGTACAAAGTAAACCTAGAAGTTACATCATGTTGACGGCCACAGTAATGAAAATAGTCGAACAAACTCCTTTTGAATACAAAGGCTAGGTTTGTAAAGGTGGATTGCAATCGCCTCTGCTATGTGAAGTAATCGAGTGCGTAATCCATAAGGTAAATTAATTGGAATCTGATGGATGATTTTAAAGGCTTTTCTGGCAACCACTTGATGCCATTTGTCAACTAAGTATGCAAGTATGGAGCTCTTTATGGTTCTAATATGTCCCTTGTTCAACCATGATGGGTGGTGCTAAGAAATTCGACGATGGAACTGCCTCATTGGAGGCCCAATGTAACTAGCTCCACAAGAGCAGTTGAATTGTTAAATGTACATAGAAGTAGCAGAATCAGGTAGTTTGTCTTAATTTCTTGCACCTAGAATCGGGCGGTTGTAGAAGGCGCAACGTAATTTAGCAGCTGGAAATGATGAGTAATAAGATTTTCAAAATTTTAATGACGATAAAAAGTTATTACTTCTTCACCAACCACATTGCTTTTGCATCATTTTACTTGAGGCGCCCAACAACTAACTTTCAATAATCTGAATATGTCCACTCATCTAAGTTACACATCCGAAAACAGTTTACAACAACAGTCAGTGACTTCATAGATTGATACCATATCCTGATTCCGTCATCACTAGTTTGTTTTAATTTAATACACTCCAGCCATTAAAGTATTTTGTTAGCCTGGAATGCGTAGCAAATATCTCATGAACATCATAAAGTACACGTCGACAGAGTCATCAGTTACTTCATTTCTGCATCTAACTTCGAAAATATTCATTTTTTCTTTTCATAACATCTGAAAGATACATTGAAGATATGTTTGATGTAAAACTTTGAAATCTGTAAACGTCTTCAAAATTAATTGAGAATCAGATGTCTGTAGGTAAACTGAAAGCTTGTTGTCTAGAATATAAGTATTTCTTTATGCTCTCAGAGCTCAGAAAACTCAAGATAGCGAAATCTTCTCCCTAAGTTACAGATATTCTTCACCACTTCGAAATCCCTCTATCCCTTTAGCTTTACTAATGATCAGATCACTAAGTTCGTGAATAGTTGAGCTAGGTACAATGTATCGACGTCATCTGATAAGGAAAAACAAGTGTTTTCAATGAGAACATTAAGTGCAGTCCGAGTGTTCGATATCAGAAAACAGATTAAATATTCAGATTTGTTGTTTGAAAAACAAAAGGCTGTGAGTCTATATTAATACTTTTCCAGTGGATATATATGCTTTTCCAATCCAGTTTTAAGCGAGTCACTTGATGATGCGGACACTACTTCTGAGAGTCGGTTACAGGAGTTGGTCACTCGAGGCAAGAACTAGTACTCTGTAGAGACTACGGTTATTCTATGCTTTTGTATTCGCTTTCTATGCCCTCTGAGGTGTCCCGACCTAGTGGAAAGTAAAAGAGAGGATGGATCAGGTTCAAAATCATTTCTTACAATCTTGTATAGCGTGATTACATCTCCTATCTGTTGACGATAGAATAAAGAGAAGAGGTTCAGCTCCTTAAGTCAATCTTGATAGGCCAGGATAGTCATCGCGGGGACTATGAGAGTGAAGTTTGAAAAAAGTAGCAGAATAAACCCTAACAAATTTGTAGCTCAGTACTTCAATTCCATTTAATCTAATAAGTATCATAATTGCTAACAAGTTGAACACTTCAAGAAAGAATAAAAAGTCACCTTTGAACTCAGCAGCTGCTGTCGCTTCAGATTTCAAAGCAGCACCCACCATAACACCGTGTTTCCAGTCGAATGACTGTAAAACTAATGGTATACCTTCAGGTCTGCGTCCACCGAATATGATCGCTGAAATTGGTACACCTTGTGGATCTTCCCATTTAGGGTGAATAATTGGACATTGACAAGCTGGACAACAGAATCTTGAATTAGGATGTGCTTTTGGATCATGACTTTTATCAGATAACTTGACATGATCACCAAGCCATGTGATAATTTCTGTATCTGGACTGTATTCATCTTCAAGTCCTTCCCAAAAGAAATGACCGTCTTTAGTTTGTGCTACATTAGTAAATACAGTATTCTTCATACAGGTGGCTAATGCATTTGGATTAGTTTTAGCATTCGTTCCTGGAGCGACACCAAAGAAACCAGCTTCTGGATTGATTGCACGCAGAACACCCTAGTAGATGTATAAATGTACAAGACTTATTCTAAAGAATTAAAAGTATGAGAAATTTCAAATGTATTAATGAAAAGCCTAAACAAAGTCTTATCAAAATTTAAGTCTTGAGTCGGCAGTAATGTAACGAAGAATGTACGCTTTATGATTGTCCATGTCATTATTCATCATTATAAGAATGAGACTGATCGCAAAAAGCATCTGTATAAAGGGTCTAAATACAAACAATGGTCAATCATTTCAACTTGAACAGATCGACAGTCAAAGTGAGGGAATAAACAATTTTAAGATAACATTGTAAATATTCAAGCTTTACAAGATGTGAAAGAGTGAATATATTTGTGCCACTATGACCAGTTTTCAATCATGTCACCAAGAGTCCTCAACCACTGGTTCCTATCTTCTCGATGACCCTGGCCAGGTAGTCTATATCTACCTATACGGCTAAGACCATCGGTCATAGACTTTATGTATTGGTGCCAGGTCTAGGGCTAGCCACCCTAAACACTCTCCCAACCTAATCCAGCTTCTCCTTGGATGGTAGTGGATTGGGATGCACAACACATATACAAGCCATTGCCGTCGACTAAGGTTCACAACTTCATCAACTGACCTGCCTATCTTGCCTAGTACCCTTCGATTGATCTCAACATTGCTCACATGTTGACTCCACTAAGCGCGAACAAAGCCATGAAGACACCTATGATCAAAACCTTGTAACCGCTTCATGTCGTCTACTTTTAGCGGCAATGTCTCACAGCAATAAAAGAGGACAGGAGAGACTGCAGCGTATCATACTCGTCATTTGAATGATAGTTGGATGTCTCGTTAGCCGACGCAACGGATGACGCAAGTTGAAAAACGCCATAACGTGACTATCTTCTAACCGGTCTATCCATATCACTTACATGCGACATACTTCTGCTTTCTTGGTCTAATTATCCAGTATGAATCTTGACCACAAGAAATTCTGCAAGACACTAGATTACTGTGTTTAAAATGTCCAGTATATGTGTACCGCAGCTTTCAGTTACAAATATACTATGGGTAAAAGTGTAAGTGAGAAATCCTTGTAAGATTCCAGGGCATTGATTCCAAGCTCGTTATTGATCAATAATATATAGCCCTGAAAGGCATTCCAACATTCTAGCATATTAAACAGCAACACACTTGGATGATGAGTTATGAGTGAGACAAAGCTAGCGCCACGAAATCTGTGACAAATTAGTACTTATTTCTGTTTCCAGAGTTCTTCACAGGGATACAAAAAGACTTGGGTCTAGAATGTAACGGAATCTGTCGAACTTCACAGTCTATCTTGTAGATATCTCCAAGCATGGTACATTTTCTACCATATTTCTATTTTAAAGAAATCCTCAGGTATTATATGCGTCATAATACTGAATATCTAAGAAAGATGATTATAAGTTTATGTTTTCTTTTCATAATGCAGACATAATTTGTTGAATTTTGCTTGAATTAGCAAAGCTGAATAAAAAATATGATGTGCAGGCATGATGATAGGTGATAGAAAATCTAAATGGTCTCAGGATTACAACTAGCCATTTTAAGACTGTCAACTCTACAGTTTGCTGACTGAATCACAAGACATACCTGCTTCCTAGGTCCACATATCATTTCCGTAGTCAAATTGATTTGAAAAGGGGAGGTCTAGCTGAGCCGTTAGTGTGAGTAAGAATGAACACTGATGTATCCTTCATTCATAGGGCAACTAGTCAAGCGCTGTGTGATTGGCATGATATTCCGGTCAAGTTAAAAGCTGATTTCTGGATCTTAGTCAATGGAACGCTGGTTTGGCATTTTGAAGGCGACCGATTTGTAATACATTTCTTAATTCAGGCTTTTTGTGAACTTCAGTCACCATTCGTACATATGTAAACCAAAATCTTCCGATCGTAGTTATTTTAGATAATATCGATAAAAATAGTGTATCCACTGCCTTAATGATATGTCTTTAAAACAGTTAATGAATCAGGTAATTTTCTCTCTAGTTAGTAAATAGCTTACATGTTCATCAAAACGCATCCATGCTATATCATCACCAACGCATTGAACCTTCCAACCAGGTAGTGAAGGTTCAAGCATAGCCATATTTGTTTTACCACATGCACTTGGAAAGGCGGCTGCTATGAATTTCTCTTCACCTTTTGGATTAGTAACAGACATTATCAACATATGTTCAGCTAACCAGCCTTCATCATGAGCAATACAACCAGCAATACGTAGAGCGAAACACTTTTTGCCTAGAAGTGAATTCCCACCATATCCACTGCCATAACTCATAATTAAGCGTTCTTTAGGCACATGTGAGATAAGCGTTTTTTCTGGATTGCATGGCCAGTTATTGACAATTTTATCTAGAGAAATATAATAAAACATAAACAAATTTTTTCATATCACAGACAAATACACAAACTAAACTGTCAACGATTTCACATCCAACATAAATGGCTGTCTAGCTGTTGTCACTTTATATAAAAGACATCTTCAAATCACTCAGTTCTCTAGGATAAAAAGGCAACGGAATAATTCAGTATCATATAAAAAAGTAATACTGTGTTTAGTATCACAACTTATGAATATAGGAAAATTGCTCATTTCAAAACACTAAAGATTCATATGGATGGTACTATTAACATCCTGATGCCTAACATGAGTAGCTACAAAAAAAACTCAGGCTGGTATGCAGATACCAGTAACCAGATCATGGTGATCTAAACACCAAACCGCCGTTCCGTTCGTTTGGAGCCGAGCTTATCAACGGTGCATCCCAGAAAAACTCAATCTATAGAGCTGATTTGTTCAGATCATCTGAATTTGGCTAGCTGACTTGGGTGGACCGTTATACCCTAAATAAAATGATCACGCTGCAAATCGTTTAAAATTTCACGATCCACTTTGAAGTCTGTCTCGTAGCTGAGTAGTTTTCCAACTGCCCAACACAGTTTCCATTGGAAGCCATCCATCCGGTGTTCCAATCACTCTGATCTAGCTAGCAGAACTATCAGATCAGCCTGAGTGGTTTCGAACTACTTACGACACTTTTGTACCAAAGATGACACCTTGTAGTCTTGGTTTAAGAGTGATTTCCAGCGAAAACCCAGCTGCCAAACAGTTCATAATTTGCTAAGCTATGGGAAAGGTCAATATGAACCTTGTAGTTTGTAAGTAATTTGCAAATTGATCATCCTGTTTATGGTACCATAAAGGATGAACTTAACGATGTTCAATTTGTTGGAAATACAGTCCGTGGAAACATACTGAGTGCTTCCCTACAACTCAAAATAAGACCCTGCTTATAGGGATTGCAGTTGAAAAGGACATAGCAGTAATGGTTCTAAATAAAACTGGGAAGATAGGCAATATGGAGGCATCCGATTAGGAGCCCATATGCCAATACAGACCGATCAATTCGGTCCAACCAACTACGAGATAATACAAGCGACAACATAAAAACTATGTTCGTCGCACAAGAAGTGACTATCATGAGTCAGTGGCCTAGTCGATAACGCTCTGGCGTTCAAAGTGATTGGTCTCAGGTCCGAGTCCTAGTGGGAACAACATCGCTCACTGGGAGACAGGCACAGCCAGCTGACGAGCACAATATAGGACGAGACGCGCATCTTGGATTCCACTGCTAGTCACTATAAATCATTACTGTCTAAAAAGATCTCGGGAACCTTTGTCTTTTCTTTTACTTTAGGTATTCACTGACTTCATGGTTTGTGAAGCACAAACTGCATTTTCTTGGGTTCAGTTCACTTTGTATGCTCAATTTATCTACCCTATATGACTGGCAGTAACAATCTCATGAAAATATTTTTATCAAAATTCATCTTTTTTATCAGTCAGAAAAAAAATACTTGAATCAGATAACATTCATCCAGTCCATCATTTGATAAGACCTTTTTACGATCTACCTTTTAAAACTATCGTTGACAATAACTCAAAATAATAAAAAGGAGTATAATCATGTTAGGAGTTAAGTCACTCGAAATATGAAGTTTGTAATAACCACAATGGAGTTGTACAATACTGGAATATATAAACATATGCCATAAACTCACGGGTAGATGAAGAAGGACATCCAACACTATGTACACATCTGACAAATTCCTTACTAGACTCAATAATTTTCCATACTTCTGGACACATACGTGTCATAATATTCATGCATAGGACAACATAAATACTGTCAGTTAATTCAATACCAACTTTGCTCAAAGGTGATCCAACAGGACCCATACTAAACGGCATCACATACATTACTTGATCTTCCATACAACCGGGATAACGATCTCTAATTTCAATATTCAAGTTATCTGGTGATATCCATTGACCAAGAACACCCTTGACACCAGGTGCTACATCTGGTACAGTATCTTTTCGATGAAATGAACAAATCCACGTTTTTGATTCAACACGAGCAACATCTTTTGGATCAGTACAAGTGATGAAATTATTCTCATATGCAGATAGTCTATGCAAAGAACCATTTTTAATCAACTTTTCAGTAAGTTCATTCTTCTCTTCTTCACTACCATCACATATATACACTCCTGATGGCTTACAGATTCCAACCTGATTAATGTTAATTTTTATGAGAATAAAAATCGGTTAGGAAATTAGAAGTTATCACTTTTTTTAAAACTGCCACAGTAAATACAGACTTAAGAATGGGTGAATGGATCATTTCACTTCACAGTGCCTTAGCTAAATCATATACAGATAATATACTACTGATAAGTGATAGTAGTTAGAAATAAATCATTATGATGTAAAGATTTTACTCGGAAAATCATCATGTAACAAAATTTCAGCAGTTTCTTCTTCGATCTCATCTGTGACTTAAATAACCGGACATATACATCAAGCGATTCAAGACTGAAACATACGAACATTTTAGATATTTAGGATCACTCGATTAGTCGGTGACATTTCAGTATATAATAGTGATTTAAGATATTTAGGTATCAGGTGATTGGAGTCAGCCTATAGGAAACCCTGGAAATTGATTTTGTGCTTTTGATTACTCATCACCATCATCTACAACCATGAAGAAAGCGGGTGCATCCTCTGGGATTCGAACCTACGTCATTGACAGCTAAATTCAGACTTAACCCTTTGTAGGACTAGATCACTTACATGAACTGGTTCACAGTGGTTAACCGATGTAACTGTCTAGTCCTTTGTCCTTACCACTGATCGAAGTCTATGTCTCAGATTTCTTTCCCTTGAGATAGTTAAGCAGCAGGATACTATAAAGCATAGATATAAGTTCAGTGCGATAAAACTTGTACATGGATGAGTTACTCAACATCATAATTTACATACTCTTAGAAAAGATCCTATTAGCTAATTGGCGTTGTTAGAAAAACATTTGACCTTCATCAATGCGCTTAAACTCACTGTCAAACTCACTGGACACCCGTGTAATTGCTTATAAAGTTACTGAAGTGCTTTCGTCCTGAGTTCTTACTTAACATAAAACAGGATCCTTAGTGCTTTGCAACTTGTAGATCATAGCGAACTTGTGTTCGTTTTTACCCAATGAACTCTTAAGTCTGTAAGTAATAAATAGAACCTCTGACTCAGTCATCACTACAGCGTTCAAGTCTTACTTTTAGCTATGGTTTAATGTATACCAGTACACAGTAAACAATCAGCTGCCGATATTTGTAAGATAAGTGAGATCTCCTAAAATGGCTAGAAAGGATTGTAAAAAGTAAAGATCCCCCAGATTTTCTGTTAAGCCTTAAGTGGAAGAACTATATAGTCCAATTTCTACCTAACTACCATATACAGAATTCCAGGAGAAGAGACAAGATAAATGACTCTATTCTCTTCTTAAACCATCAAAACATCTTGACGTAAATCGTACAGGTCCAAGGCTCAAACATGAAGCATATTGTCGTGATCTGTCGGTTTTCCTACAGAGTAATAGACATTTCAAACCTTCTGTCTGAATGGAGTTATGAAGGATGTAATTTACTGAATAAAGGTTTGAAGACAGCAACACACACCTCTACACCTTGTATTCTCAAAGATGAGAACCGAAAACTAATTGAAAGATAATTTGTGAACTAATATAGTTCACTTAACATTTCTTACTGTTCAGTAGTTCTATGCTATTTCTAGTAAACTATGTCTTCACAGAAAAAAAAACCATTCAGAATAATGTAGATATCATTAGAAATTGAAAACATCATAGACTGTTGAAACATATTCATAGTTGAATACCACTTTCACTGGTATTATGATTAAGAAAAAGTGCACATCTTATGGATGACACAACAATTTAAATCGAAATAACGTCATTTTATGAAAATGATCGGTAGATTATAAGAAGCGAGATAAAAGTATGAAGTGAAGTTGCGACACATTATAGCAAAACTTTTATTCATATACACTATGATTCTTCGGTGCCACAGTAAACCATTAGCTTCCAAATATGTAAATTGTTGTCAGACAGTATAGAAACATATTGAACTAACCAAGTAATTTCACATTAAGGTTAAATTGATCCATGCTTAACCCTGTTATAGTATACAGTTATCAATTTTCCGCGGTTGAGTTCAAACTTATTACACATACTTCGATATATACGGTCAAGTTTAAGTGATACGCTTAACATGATAGATATCGGTAAAAATATTATCCTGATAGAATGGCAGTAAACTCTCTACCTCAACTTTATCGACTTTAAAAAGGCTTTCCACAGCGTCAACCGACAAGTAATCAGTCAGTTGCTTCAACACTACGAAGTACCACAAATCTCTATCAACCTTATTCAACAGCTATATGAAAACGCTACATGTCAAGTGATCCAAAATGTAAAGCTCAGTGATGCCTTTGAAATGAAAAAAGGAGTGAGATAAGGTTGCCTAATATCACCCATAATCTTCCTGATTGTGGTCGACTGGAATGGATCATGCAGCAAACTGTGAGGAGCGACAAGATAAGCATACGCTGTCTGACCGATGAAAAGACCCTAGAGAATTTGGATTTCGCCCATGATGATTTATGTCTGATGTCTAATGTCGCACGAACTCGTGAGTCTACAGGCAGAAACTAACAAGTTGACAAAAGAGGCAGCGAAGATGGAGCTTAAAGTGAACGTAGAGAAGACTCAGATAATGAAAATACCCAACCAATAACAGCATCAACAACAAGCACCAATCACCATGAACGGAAGAAACCTAAAGAAAGTTGTCTCTTTCACCTACTTACCTACCTACCTAGGCAGCATCGTTCCAACTACAGGCGTCACAGGCACAGACGAGGATGTCAAAACCAGGATCAAAAAGACAGCAAGACAGGCCTTCATGAACCTGAAACAAGTGTGGAGATATACTGCTCTGTACTCAGCATAAAGTATGGACAAGATCCGGATTTTCAACACTAAGTCAGTCAAGTCAGTGCTTCTATGTGATGGTTGAGAGACTTCGCGCGTTACGGAACGCACTTCCAACAAACTACAGATATTCATTAACAGCTGCTGTCTACGCTCACTGGATACTGAAGATCAGATGAGATGGCCAGAAAGAATGAGCAACACGGAACTCTGGCGTAGCAGCGAAGGAACTAAGCAAGAACATATCACCCAAGAAATATCCAGAAGAAGAGAGTGACGATGGATTGGTGATACACTGAGAAGGGGGATTGGGGACATCACGTGCCAGTTCAGGCCCTGGAGTTGAGTGTAGAGGGGAAACGACGAGTTGGGCGTCCGAGGTGAGGGTGACATGGAGGCGATGATGTGAGGAAGAAATGAAAACTTGTGGGCAGTGGTGGAGTGAAGTTCAAAAGACTTCAGAGAAGAGAGTGTAATGGAGATATGCTACTGAATCCTTATGTTCCACTAGAAATCCAAGGAAAAATAAATAATAAATAAATACAACTATTTCTCATTTTAGGTTGTAAGTTAGACAAACACTGAAAAATTGATTGTAAACAATATCAATGAAGTTTGTAACAAGGGTGAAAAAAACGCAAAGGAGGGGCTTTGAAAGGGACAGTATAACAACAATATTTAATCGAGTAAATGATACCTACCCATTTGGCAACAAATCTTTGAGCAGATTTCGGCATAGACTTAAAACATCCTTTGACAACTGGTACTGATCCCAAACTGAAAGTTTCTTCGTTCTCAGTCCACATCTTGTCAAGTTTTACTGATTGAAAAATATAACATTTGTGATGTGTTGCAAACAATTGAGCATAATTTGTACAATTAATAATAAATGTGTGATATTCTAAGATCTTGTTTTAATATTAAAATTAGGCTTATTTTTAGGAAAATAAAATACTGAAATAATAGCTGAAGAAATGACCAAACCTTCTGAAAATATAAGTAACCATGTAATGTTATAAGCTAATCGCAAAAGTAACGGGAATGTGTCAGCCGCATTGACGGGTACTGTTGTTACTATAATATTTCTAAGCACAGTAACTGAGATGATAAAATTTGACTTACCATGTGGTTGAAACTGAAATCTTAGCTTACAAATGCATTGTGTTATCAAAGAGTAACCACCCTCAAAGTTGAAGTGAGTGATTTTCAAAAAGACTTAATAAATGCTTCACCAAATGTTTTTCTGGATTCAGTATAAGTTTAAATTAGTAGTGAAAAAGCAGTTACTCATATCCAGATGGTGTTACCCTAGCAGAACAACTCACGTCTAGGTTTAAGATACTAAGTGGTTGACCAGAGACAATATAAGGGACAGTAAGCAATGAGTAAGTTATTACTGTTGAGAATAAGGTTGTAGTTGTAACAATGACATATATATATATATATATATATATATATATATATATGAATGCGGTTTTTTAATAATGCTACACTAACACTGTTATTTGTCATGTATATAACTAGTACAATTTGTATTTTCTTTTACCACTTAATTCACTTGCTTCCTAAAAATGTGTATTCTTGAGAAGACAAGAATGTGTGAGGTTGCATAGTTATTTTATCTTTAAATCGTCATTTAACAATAAATCTTAGTACTTACTGCAACAATACTGCTATGAGCATGTTATTCATACCAACCATAACAGACAAAGAGCTTCTATAGTTATCTGTCCTCTCTATAGTAAATTTAAAGATTCTATCCAGAGATAGGTTGTAGTGACATAAACAACAGATATTTTATTTTCTAGATTGTAATGCACGTTTTTGAACATTTGGTTCGACTAGTATCGCTTGGTACTGGTTTCTAAATTAGGATCAGAAGCATCACTTTAATACAATTAACAATATGGTGAGTATCTAAGGTAGACAATCTACCACATTTAAAGCGTACCGTTCTCAAGACTTATTCCTCTTGTATTTATTTTAGTTTGTGGTAAAATCTCCAACCACTTTGCTTATTGACAAACGACTCTACTCTTTTCTTAGTCTTTAAAATCCTTTGCATATTAGTTCTTCAACAGTTACATTTAATTTCGAAGGTAATGACTAAACTTGGAGTTGGTCATTTTTTCAGTTTATTATCCTTACATTTTGTATGACTACCTGAAATTCTTTTTACATTTAGGTCTTACGTGTTTGAAGAAGAAGGAATGATCTTTTGCCCTTTTAAGCATACTCAAGGAGGAAAACTACATTTGAAACGCATAAATTCTACTTTTCTTATCTCAAACATATATTTGCATCCAAAACTCAAAATCCACAAATTCCTTTTATTTCCTTTGAAACAGTCGCTAGGTTCTTTCCCTGACACTTAAAATACAGAATTGGCAGACTTATTGAATTCTCAAAACTCAACCCATATGCTCAATAATTTGCATAACCATACCTTTTGTCGTCCAAAAGAACGTTACACACTGTTGTCAAAGTATATTAGAAATATTTAATTAGTAACTTCAGTAGTAATATCCAGAAGCACTTTAGAAGAAGATTACTTTTAATAAATAGTATAAGCGTTCTTTTCAACTGTTTCTGCATGTAAATTACATTTTGATAAAACTTGCGTTTATAACTATCAGAATCACTTTCCAAATCAGTAAGGAAAACTTTGGCATAATAACAAGTTACTCAACGCAATTGATAAACATGAAATGAAGATGAATGAATTTGGTCCGATACATTTTACTTATGCGCTATAGTACAGTCACATTTACGGGAATCATGTATACAAGTATAATGACTGCATCGTGATGTACTCATTGGCATTTGCATACAGATTTTTACTTTTATTTACGTGATATTCAGCTCAAATAATTTGTTCTTACATCGTCGTTCACGAAAATCTCAAATCATCCACAATGTTAATGAAGTGTTATTTGCAAAGACGAAAACCAGCGAACCCCACTCGACAACTAGTTAAACGGTACCAAACAGGCAGACAAAAGCATAGAGTGTTCATTAATCGTATCAACAGTAATAAAACGCATTCGGATACACTCATTTATTTTCGCAGACCTACGTCCCTAACTCGATAAACATTACACAGAATCTGCAAGTCTAACTACTGCAAAGCCTGCGGATTCCACTGAAAATATCTTAGGCCATCCTAAAAAAGAACATGGTATTTAAATGGGTGTTCACCGTGAGTATATGCATGGTGACTAGTTCATATTCCCACTAAAATTTGTAAAATAAATTTTAAAGTTTGTGAACAACATATTCTTGGAAAAAATACCCCATCAAATGCTACATTGCCCTTGAACCTTTACCAATTTACAATGCAGCTTTTCATCAAAAAGATGCCGTTTCAAACTTTCGGGATTCCAGTATAAGCCAATCTATTGATAACCATAGGTTTTTCCAAGTCATTTGATCGTTTGTTGTCTTGGTAAATTGTTCTTAATCTTTACTTTGTTTCTCGGGTTTTATGAATAAAGCCTCCTCTAAAACTTTAAAATTGGTTTGATGTTGCTTCTTATGCTTCAAAAAGTGAGTACAGAGTAAGCTGCAGCAAAACTATTGATTAGTTTGAATTATTCGTTCTCACTGCAGTGACACAAACTTTTCAGTTTCATAGATATGTACATAAATTTGACTCTTATCAAGATAATGTACAAAACTACAAGACGTTTAATTTATGTTTACTTTTGTCTTTTGCATGCAGAAGGTATGGCTATAGCCATACACTTATAAGTGCGCATAACACTGTGAAAAATAATTACGGTTCCGTAGAAACGCTGTGTTACGCTATAAGTTAAAGTAAAAAGCCGTTTATCAACAAACAAATCTAAAGGAGAAACGAGAAATTCTTCATACTAAACAGATAGTTCCAATACAATTGAACGTAAGTTTCTGAAACCGTTCCACATTCAGGAAGAAGGCAACAACATTAACGTTGTGAATTAGCTGCACTTATTTTCTAAAATAAATTTGACCGTTGTTTGATGTTTTTTTTATTTTCTGAAACATACTAGGTGAATAGCCTTAATATATTAAACCATGGTTTAATATATAAAGGCTAAACAGTGCATTGTTTAAAAACTGAAAATACAGTTGACCACAGCTAAAAACACGAAAACCACACACTGATATCAACCACTTGCATGCAAAACATCTAATGGCTGGTAACTTACATCTGTGAACAGAACCACCGAAGACAGATTACTCTTCACTTAAATATGCGCTATTTATAACCATTGCTTTTTGGTGCGAAAAAAAAATGTGATGAAATTTCTTCACGCTGATTTTGTTGGATTTCTTGTTGCAGCTTCACAGTGAACTTCAAATAACAATACTTTCCGCTTGATATTCCACACTGAACTCTTTGTTCCAATCCAATATCCAATATTAATGGTGTGAGCGTAGAAAACTGGTAGTTTTGACCTCTCGCATCTAGTTCTTAGGGCTTGGTTCCAGTTGTTCGGTTCGCTCCTGAAGTGGACGAGAAAATTCCCTCTGCTTTTTTGCTTTTAGCTTCAGTGAGGTGGATGTTTTGTGGGTTAGTAAGTTGCAGTTTGTAGAGTGATTAGGGAGCTACGGGTTGCTGGGAGGTTTAGAGAACTGCCGTGACTCCTGTCTGTGTGAGTACCTGAAAGAGAATAGTAAGGTAGTGGTAAAGGAATGAAGAGAGAAATAAGGAAGAGAAAAATAAGGAAAATAATAATAATATAGGGAAGAGAAAAGGGAAGGAGAAGAAAAGGAGGGGTGAAAAGAGAAATGAGAACGAAAGAAAAGTATTTGGGAATTGCCCGAATGGTCGCGTGGGTTTGGTTCCTACAGAAGAATTAGTAGGTAATGTGGGTGTATTAAGGAGAGAGATAGTGAGTGGTAGTTAGGAGGGAGTTGGGGGTACTGAGGTTGGTGACTACCTGAGTACGTCCGTGGTAGTCCATGCGAGGTGACATAACTGTCTAATCGCCTCTTGAAAGAGTCGACTGAAGGAGCTATAACGATGTGTCGCGGTAAGGCATTCCATAAAGCACATACTCTTAGGGAGAAAAATTTGGACCTGAGTGTGGTGTTGGCTCTCTGGTGTGCTATCTTAATGGGGTTTCCTCGTGAAGATCGTTCAGTTGCAGGCAAAATTGATTTGTTTGCATGGTCTGCCTGATGGGCGATCTTGTATGCCATAATGAGGTCACCCCTTTTCCTGCGATAACCCAAGGTAAATAGGTTGAGGTGTTTAAGTCTTTCAGGATACGTCTTTCCCCTTAGCCCCACAACACATTTTGTTGCAGTTCTTTGTATTCTTTCAAGGAGATTAGAGTCTCTCTTGAGTGTTGGAGGAGCCACCGTATTGAAGACCTCTAGGTGCGGCCGCACGTAGGATTTGAAAATGGTGAGGAAGAGTTCGGGAGTGAGGGCGCCAAGCTGTCTACGCAGAAAGTGTAGAATGGCGTTCGCTCTGGTTGTCATACCTTTGTAGTTGGAGCTGGTGTCGGAGAAGTTGAGCCCCAAATCTTTCTCCATGGACACTCTGGTGATAGCACGGTTGCTCAACATGTACTGGAAGTCGGTCGTACTTGCCTCATTTTTACTGATGTGCATTACTTTGCACTTTTCCAGTTGAAGCTCAAGCCATTTTCCGACGACCAGAGCTCGAGTTGCTGCAAGTCCTTTTGTAGTGCTGTACAATCAGCTTCTTCGTTTACCACCCTCCAAATTTTTATGTCGTCAGCGAAGAGGAGGATGGGTGAGGATATTTTGTCTGGCAGATCGTTGACAAACAGGAGGAACAGAAGCGGTCCTA